GGCACACAGCATGGCTCCACTACACAAAAGGGTGTCTGGGCAGAGTGGTGAGAGACTGTGCACAATTTCAATATGTTACTCAGGCTGCAAACTTCTGGAACCTTCCACCTCCTACTTTCAGACTTTTGACTGTGAAGCCATAAGGTGTACTGCAAGCTTCCTCCAATGTAACTTTTATTTAGTTGGGCAACACATACTGGGATCCACTTCTTCCTGGGATCCTCTCCCATGGCTATGTCGTTTGGTAGTTTATTTTAACTTGGGGAATCAAAACAGACCCAGCACAGAACACATGCCACGTCTGTGAACATTTCCAACGACAACAGAATGGAAATGAGGTTAAAAAGGAAAATAGGTGAGAAAAAGGACTCTCTCAAATTATAATTGAAAGACAAAAGTGAGCTATTTGCAGGGGACTACACAGATGGCTGTGGTTAAGAGCACAGGTTTGGTTCTCAGCACACAGTGGCTCACAAGCGTCTGTAACTTCAGTTCCAGGGGACCTGGCTCCATCTTCTGACATTTTTGGGCATTGCACACACAATTCATATACACTCATTTAGGCTTACACATACATATGAATAAAAACACATGTATCTTTTAGGATGAACAAAACATTAAAAACTTTTATCACCACCAAAATAATGCTACACTTGCCTCAAATCCAGAGGAGTTGTGTTTATGTGGCCAAACTGTCCCAATACTGATTGCTTTTTAAAAAAAATGAATTATGATTTTTGACTTGCTTGATTCTTTAAATATTAGGACAAGACAGACAAAAAATTACCATCTTATAGCCCCAAAGTGGTTAATACAATTTTGTGTCTCATCTAATAAAGGCGTGGGCTGAGGAATCTGACATCTGGAGCTTTTTATCTGTTATGGGAAAGTGGAAAATGTCAGCTAGTTCCACTCAGCATCCAAACTTTTTATGTAACCTGTATCGTGCAAGAAATCCTCTGATGTCATTTTCAGATGCTGCATCTAATCCCCTAAAAGAAAAGGGGGGGGATGGGTAAGGAAACCGTACCACTTGCTGATTTTGAGGCAGTCCTGTCATTTGCATGGTCTTTGCTATACCAGTGCTGGAATATATGTGAGCACCCTACGTTGGACATTTGCTTCAGAGAGTTAGATAATACATTCCCAGAGCTTGAGTCAGAAGTAAATGATTCTCGGAATGGACTCAAATGGAGGGGATGTCTGACAGGTAGGACAGGCAACTTCCACCTGATAGCTTTTTGTATTGCTTGGGTTTTTTTTTTTCCCCCCATGATGATGTTTTTATACTTGCACATTATCAAAAAAACAAATAGCTTCTGGTTTACTGAGGTTTAACAGATGAGATGGTCCAACACATTGATGGCCAATTCTGTAGGCCGTGAATATATTCTTGTGGTGTTACTTCAGGTTATCTCTTTCTAGATACAGTAGGCTGAACTGCTATGAGAAAGGAAGAGTTAAAAGTCCAGTCTTTTTACTTCCAGCTGAACACTTCCTACAAGGAAGACCAATATACTGAATTTATGAGATGATAACACAGAGACCAGGGTTTCTGAGTCTGGATACTACTGACAATCAGATATCATGTGTGGTATTTAGCAGCAGCTCTTGGCTCTTCACTTGCTGGATGCCCAAAGGACCCTTTTCCAGCTGTGCCAAGTTTCTTCAGATGAATATTGCCTGGGGGACAAGATTGTTTCTAGTTCAGAAACAGTGGTATAAACTGTAAGCTGATTCCAGACTTTGTGATGCCCTGTGACACAGCATTCTCCTTGGTATTGAGTTATCAATGGCAGCTTAGAATAAATGGCCTGAGAATATAAAAACAAATCACAAGAAAAAGTGGAAACTGAAGTTGAAAGTTAGCTTACTTAAAAGTGAAACGAAAGCCAAGCAAAACCACACTTGGGCTGTGTGATAAAATCAAGCTCAGAGGCCATTTGGGTTCTGCCTCTCTGTCTCTGTCTTACACAGTCCTGAGGGCTGCTGACAAGACTGGGTAATGAAATTCTCTGAAATGCCATCACTGCATCTGACCCAGCACTGTATTCCAGTCCAAACCAAATGAAGCAAGTCAGACAGACACACATGCACATACAGCTAAAGACAGAAAGTAAGAGACAACACTGTTTGTAGTTAAGAGTCCAACAAAAATCTAAGGACAAGCTATTATAACTGACTTTCAAAAAGCTTGCTGGATATAAGCACCTAAAAGTCAGCAGCATTCTCTGAAATTAAGAGAAATGAACAAAAAAGTCAAAGTAAAAACAAATTTAACTAGATTTAAGCTAATAAAAACATACATAAAACCACTAAGAAGAAAACAGAAATAATATTGAAAGGGGCAGTAAAATCCCAAAATAAGTGAATAGATGAACATATAAACTTATTTATTTTTGGTTTTTCCAGACAGGGTTTCTCTGTAGCTTTGGATGCTATCCTAGAACCCTCTCTGTAGACCAGGCTGGCCTCGAACTCACAGAGATCCACCTGCCTCTGCCTCCCGAGTGCTGGGATTAAAGGCGTATGCCACCACCACCTGGCAAACAGATAAACTTTAAAAATACCATAATTCTCAAACTAATCTATAGACCAAAGCAATAACAAAGTGACAGCAGTGTTTTCATTAAACTGGACAAGCAGATCCTAGAGACAGGACTCAGGGACAACTAAGGTGATTTTGAAGATGCAAAATACTCAGTTATATAGTATGTAATGTTGTTATATTGACTTCGTGATAAGAGAATTATATAATAAACTGACCTGAAGACCTATGCATTTATGGAAAGCTGATGTATGATCAAGGTCAGGTTGACTCCCTCTGGAGAACTGTCACACTCTTTTGGTTCCTATAAAAACAAAACAAAACTGAGTCTTTAGAGCTCATTAAAGAGGGGAGAAAATTATTGAAAAACCAAGTTATGGTCACATGGTGCCGGTGGCCATGTCACAGGAGCAGCAGGTAACACTTGCACTTCACGAGTTTGGCCCACCAGAATGCAAGGCTCTGGTGGGTGAATCTCGGATCGGCAAAGCCCTGAGGGCTTCAGCTCCAGAATGTCTCTTGCTACTGCTGTGCAAGAGACAGGTTTGCCATTGCCACTTTTTCTCTGGTATCTGGCATGGTGTGAAGGGGTGTGGGGTGATCCCCACTGCCTTTAATGTAGTGTGATTATCTCATGTAACTATCCCATTCCACTGGGCATTTTTACCTGTGGACTATTATGAAGATGCTTTCCTCTTAAGCTGTACTGTTTAACTGAAATAATGATTTTATACAATAATAATGTTAGTTTAAATAAAATTTTGATGATTAAGGGTTTTAACATGTCGTAAAGGGTTATCATAGAGGTTAGATTATTGGGAAAGTTAATGCAGGTAAAGGTAGGGTATCATGTTGCCCTTGCCCTATAAACAGGGACTGCTGAGGAAAGAAAACAGGCACAGGCAGTGTCACACAGCTGGGACTTCAGATTTGTGATTCTTTGAAGGTTTTTAAAAATTGTTACCTTTTGAAATAAATAATAAAAGGATAACCCTTTCTTTGTATCTGCAAAATGCAGCCCACCAGTAAAAGAACCAGCTGAGAAAAATAACCTTGCTTGCTTACACTTTGCTAATATGTAAGCAACCAAGGTTTTGAATGTGGGTTCTTGGGGATGATCTGTTTTGTTTACCTGTAATAGGAAAAATGTTTAATCACGTAAGTGATATGGAAAACTTGTTTTTTACTTGTATTCATTGGACTCATTCACTTGGAAAATAGAATGTAACCACATTGTAATTTTGATATTGCTTAAAAGATTTTGCTGGGGGCATATAAGCTGTAAGAGCAAAAAATAAAAGGGAGAGAAGGAAGTCATCAAGACAGAAGGGAAACATCAAGGGAGAACAGAATAGAAAAAGAATAGAGCAGAACAAGCAACAGAAAGAGTAAAATGACGAATTATGCTTGGGCTTTCGGAAAAGTTCTCGTGTATCTGTCTGTCCAATGGTTTGCTTACTCTCCATCTCCTCTTCAGTTTCTCTGACCTGCTCAAGGCCTGACCATCATCAGCATCCATCCCCAGAAAATTCTTACTCCCTCAGACAGAAAAGTTAATCGAGTGATTTGTCCTCTGACTCTGTGGCTCCCCTTCAATTCCTGAACTTCTGAAGGCACTTTTGCCCTAAGACACTTCCCCAAACACTTACAAAGCAGACAGAGCTCATGAGGAACTCTTAAAGGATGACATAACCTACCTGAACACAGATGCTTCTGTACTTCTGAGTGACTGAAAGCTCCATAGGCTGGGCAATGGAGACTGTTAAACAAACAAACAAACAAACAAACAAACAAACAAACATCTTACCTTGATTCTGGTGTGGGTCTGTAATCCCAACTACTAGGGAGGGTCAGACAGGAGGATCTCAAATTCAAGGACAACTTGGATTACAAAACCAGACCAAGTAATTTACTGAGATTCTGTCCTAAAAGTATTGTGACTACATCTCAGTGGCAGAATGCTTGCCTAGCATACATGATGTCCTAAGTTCAGTATCTAGTCTTGGACACAAAACACTGTGCCTTAGAATTTATGGAATAGTTTGAGCAAAGAGGCCCTTGGGCACTGCTCATGTTCATTGCAGGAATAGAAGATCCCTCTCTATACACTGAATGCCAGCACACTTTCATTGTGGGCTTAGTCACTCAGAACTTTCTCTGCAGCTACTGTTCTTATTAATTTCTTTTGAAAGGTTAACCCAGCATTAGGGAGGCAGAGGCAGGAGCAGGAGGATCACTGTGAGTTCCAGGCCAGCCTGGTCTATGAAGCAAGTTCCAGGACAGCCAGGGTACTTACACAGATAAACCCTGTCTTGAAAAACAAAACAAAACAAAACCAAGAACAAACAAACAAACAAACAAACAAAAAAAAAGGGAAGGTTAAACAAAACCCAACCAACAAAGCAGATTGCATTTTAAATGCAAATATGGTAACAAAGAATCACACAATCTATAGTTTTAAGTTGTTTATTTCAATAGAAATATTTCAGAAAACTGTTCTTAAATTCATCTTAAGTTAGCTTATGCAAACACACTGAAGATCACACGCTCACTTCTGCATATTAAAAAGAAACAAAGCCAGAGAGGAACCAAGATGCACATCACTCAGAGAGGTCACAGTGCAAGTGAGCCCTTCATCATTAAGTACCTCAAGTTAACTGGGACAGAGAAGGAAAACAGTTTGTGAGTTTTTATTTCTTTTTTATTATTAGCTTTGGGAATTTATCCCTAGAGATGTTTGAGTGCCTCCTTCCAGGCCCTTCAGTGGGCTATCAAAGAATGAACACCAACAATCAAGCTGTAGAAACTCAAGTTTGGAGTCCTACCACCTATCTTAGTAACATCCACCAACTCAATACTTCTTGAAACCATACTGTTGAGTTCTATCAGGTGACATCTTCAGGAATATAGCATTTGTTACTCGATATATAAATTTGAAATTGCCTGCTGACTTTCCTTTCCCCAAGCACTCCATGAGTTCCTTTAACTATTTTGCAGACCAATTGGCTGAAATCAGATTTTAAATTTTGCTAATAACCCTCAAGGACCTGTTAACCTTTTCACTGGATCTAAAGACCATGTGCTTCTATGTGTCTATTCTCTAAGCACCCTGAAAACAGCATTTCTACTCAGACAGATAAAAGTATCTCCTGGCCTTCCAATGTCCTATGCAAAATGTTTCTAAACTTTGCTTTGGCTGAGAAACCTAGTCTAGTCTCTTGCCCCTGATTTATTAATAGTGCTGTCTTTCTTGTATATTTTCAAGTAAGCAATAACCAGCAGGGTAAGGGACTGCTTGTTCATTCTTTCTTAAATAGGAAACTGAAATAAATTTCATTTCTGGCTGCAGGGATTTTTGATTGCCACCACAGTATTTTAGTAGTTTTAGTAAAACTGAAAAACTCCTTCTGTATGTATCCTATTCCTTTAGGGATTTTGCCCACAGGCCTTGTCACATACCCTAAGGTCAAAACAACACAGAATACAATTAGATTCAGTTAGATGGAGGTTCCTGACAGCCAGCATGGACAGTCCTCATCCAAAGGCTGATTTGAGTGCATTTGTTTAACCTACCCAGACAAGAGCGCCACAGGGAGGGAGGGAGGCTCATCTGAAAAAGAATTAAGAATGGAGAACTAAAACTATCCAGATGTCTACACAGTCATCTTCAGGCCAGAGGGCTAAGAGGGCACATGGTTAAAGCCATTCTCAATGCCCTAAAACTAGTTTCAAATTGATAAGGCACCACCGACTCAATGGCTAGAGATAGGCTAAATGCAATTGCCTTCAGTGAGCTGAAAAGCGGGAGTGTATGCATCTCTTCAGAGGAATTCTCAAGTTGAAAAGTCATTTTAGACACAAGCCATTTTTAGGGAAGCAAGCCCAAAAGGTACTTAAGTCATTTTGAAAAGGTTCACATGTAATTTATCATTAATACTATTTAATAGCAATTTTGTGTCTCAGAGGCTTAGAAAAAAGCGATACCTTCCTGGCCATAAACCAGGATGGTAGTAAGAAATAATATAAAAGAGAAAATGAACACAAGCCCTAAAAGGAGGCTAAAGTCAGGTACACCCCACCACTTGCTCGGCCAGGGCTCTGGCAGCAGCCGTACTGCTGTGGCGTGGTCCCAGTACAATGAAGTTCAGCTTCGTTTTCAAAAGGATGTAATTCTTTTAAAAGTCTTGAGGGCAGAGGATTTCTTTTTATTAAAGCTTATCTTCCATTAAGCAACACTGGTACCTCTTGTTTGCAGAAGGTAACAGAAAGGAATGTGCCTCAATAAACAGGAAGGAGAAAGAAATGTGCCTCAATAAACAGGAAGGAAACCAACAGAAGGTATGTTCTTGTAAAAAGCCAATGAATTAAGTCTGTTAGTACTGATTTCCAATGATATAATGCCCCACAGTTTTAAATATATGTAACTTACAGATTTAACCTCAGGAAAGGATCTTACGCGGAAGTCATTTGGACAGTTAAATGTTAACAATCTCCAGGGACTGATGAAGCCACACTGCTCACAGGGAACCATTTCAGCTACCCAGGGGTCTAAGCGCGGCTCCATTCCTGTTGGAGAAAAATGCTGCTTGCTGGGCTTCTGTATAAACATCGAGGAGGAAAAAAAAAAAAAAAAAAACAAAAACAAAAACAAACAAAACAAAAAACCCAAAAACCACCACCACTAACAAAAAAACTGCAGTTCTGAGCCTCCTGATGAACTCAACATGGAGATCCAGTAGCAACAGACCACTCAGAAGATGGCACAATAGTGGATGATACAGTTTACACAGGAAAAATAATTGCCACTCAAACATATATAAGGAAAGAGAGAAAAATACTTCAAAATTGGATCCTTTTTTGAATTGTTCACACAAATACACACTGAACAAAACCAAACATCAATTCTCTTTTGATCCTTACAAGTATAGACACTATAGCAAAAATATTCTGAAAAATAAGCACAGGGAGCGCAGAACAGTGCTTGGGCACTATGCAGGCATTTTCGTAGGTACAACTTAAAAACAGACTTAGGAAAAAAATAAGCCTTTATACTCATATAGGTTGTCAAATGAGGCTAGCACTACACACCTTGCACTGGGTCATAGAATATCCCATTCAGTCTGCTTATAAACTAGCTTAAGTATATGTTTTGAGTGAATTTCTAGAGAGTCCTCGTTGGCTATTAGACAAACAAATGAACTTTAAGGATCATGGACAATGAGCCTGTGAGTCACTTTACAACAGGGTTCACTCTCCAATAAAGCATTCAAATATTTACTACAGTTTGGCAATGTTTTCTTTGCTTCAACTCTAATCTGATACCATTCTGTGAATTATAGATTAAAAAAAAAAAAAACAAAACTCAACCTGTTCTATATAACTCATCTCTCACAGTTTCTAGAATCACCCTAAAAAGCAATGACTGATGTTTACAGCAAATTTTAAAGTAGAAAAATAGTTTTAGTTTTGGCCAGAGGCCATAGTGCTAATATGGACTGGCTACTCTGATCTAAACATGGTTCTCCCCCTCCCCTCACCCAGGTGAGGCTGGGCACATTGAACACGTATGTCTTCCATCTCAGTGCTATTTCTTTGGCAAAACAGTGAGGTCGGCCTCTGCTAGCTGCCCATCTCCACAGATGCGATTCACCTACAATGTAACGGCTTTAGCTTACTCATAAGGTTGCAATAAAAAAGCCACAGGATTCTCATTCACAGTATCTCAAAAACAGCAAGGATGCTATTGAAATCATTATTTCATAAGCAACGTAAACTAAGGGATTGCTAAAAATAATGCAAAACGAAAGTAAGATGTACAAAGTCTATACTGTAATACTGCTGGCTACTTAGTAATGTCTGTCTATGCATACCCAATGTGGGTAAGCTTAGACCATTATTTGAAAAAATCATTCTATACAGGCAACATTTGCCTTTCCTTGCTTGTCAATGAAACCCCAACTAATCTATTTCTGTCACATGACAAACATATTTGAATTACTGAAATTAGAAACACTCAGAAAAGGCTCTTTGCTTTCTTTTGGACTGATTTCTTTTTCAGCTAATTTCTGATAAAAAGGACACAATTCTTGAAGGATACAAATATGAGAAATTTTATGTGAGACCTAAAGAAAGAGCAGTTTGCTTGGAGGTGTTAAGTCAAGGCCTCTGCACAGAGCCACTACGAAGAGTTGTAGCCCACAGTAGTCTATTCAAGCACTATTCTTGGTTAAAATTCTAGGCTATCTCAAGTCCAACGTTCATTTTAAAAATTAAATGTGTTATTGCCTAGAAGGGCACTCTCAAAACTGTTTGGCCAGTTACTAACAAAACATAATTTTCAGATTGGGGACCGACAGTAAAGAAGCTTTCTAAAAAAACGTTCTGGTACATTTGGGAAAATCATACAGAGAAAAAGTTTTATATTTTTAACTCCTAGAACTGAAAACTTTGCCTTTATTCTTCTTAAAATCGTTTTGTCTTACAATAAAATACATACATATATGTGAAGAATCTTTTAAACAAGTATGCTTTTGAACTTCATACTGAACAGAAACAAATGCAATAAAAAATAAGTCTGGCATAACGCACATTAAACACTGCAAAGGGCAAAGACCGGGAAATACCACCAGGGCCTTCACCATGACGCTGAACCCCTGTGGCTGGAGAATCCACTTGACTGTAGATTTGAGAAAACTACAGAAACCTCAGTTTGGGATCATCATTCTCCTACGCAGATTTGTGAATTCATATAGGAAGTTAAGCCCAGTTAGAAACAACCACATGTTCTGGAGCCTGCTGCAAGGTGAACACTCAGCCTTTGTACCTCCTTCAGGAAGTCCCCGTTCTCCTTCCAGCACTGAATTCCAGAGTGCAGTGTTTAAATACATTTCTCATTCAAGTACACCTTATTCCAAATACACCTCCATAACTAGCACTGTCATCATTCAACTCCCATATCTTGCTGTGGGTAAATGCCAGGAAGCCAGTACCAGAGGCTGAGCAGACCCTGCAGGTGGGCTGTTGGCCTATTCCTCACCGGGTACTTCTTACTGCACCTAAAACAGCTCTTGATGGAATCCATAAGAAAGGGTTTTCCTTTTTAAAGTGTATCTAAAAAAAAGATGGTTTCCCCTCCAAAATTAGTACAAAGTTAAAAGAAACACAAATTAGCTACAATTTATTCCAAGCACAGCACCGCCAGAAGATTCACACACACTATTTGGTGTTGGTTTCCCTCTCACTCTGTTAAGGCAGTGGTTTCCACAGGTCAGTTCGGAGATAAGAAGCGTAGTTCATGGCAGTTTGTTTTGCAACTCCAATTTGTTCTCTGGGAATATCTCACTTCATTCCCTGAAATTAGTGCTTTTGGTTCTGAGCTCCGGAGGCTGGGCTGGAGCCTAGGGGCTCTTCCTGGCACAGGATGGTGCGGCTCGCGCTCTCCGCAGGTCCTTTGCTCCTCGCAGGAACAATGGTACACTTCCTTTTTCTCAGGCTTTTACTCAAAAGTCATCAAGTTTGTAGGAACCTTAAAAACACAAACAGGCCCACACCGCCTGTAACCACTCCAAACAGATTGCTTAGAAGTTGTTTTACTAGTCACTGAACACATCTGTCACAACATCCTAAAGTGATTCTTGCCCCCCTCCCTCCAAATTCACTCTGGGATGAGAGTTCTGTAACTCAAACTTTAACATATGAATAGTATTACTATACACAAAATGTAGGGTTTCTTGTTAAGTAAGCTGTTTTCAACAATTTATATAATATTTTTTTTTGTTTTGTTTTGTTTTGTTTTTCGAGATAGGGTTTCTTCTGTAGCTTTGGGGCCTGTCTTGGAAGTAGCTCTTGTATACTAGGCTGGTTTTGAACTCACTGAGATCTGCCTGCCTCTAAGTCCTGGGATTAAGGTGCCGCCACCACCCAGCTCCAATTTATATAGGATTTAATAAACTAAATTTAGCATGTATTTTGTCTTGTTATTTGGCCAAATCCAAACCATTCTGACCTACTTATCTTTCTTGAGACAATGTCTCAACTTTGTAGCCCAGGCCAGCCATGAACTTGTTAGTGCTAGGATTGCAAGCATGAGCCACCACACAGTTTAAATATTTTTAAAAGGGAATTTGACAGCAGATGCTTCAGGGATTTATAACAATGAGTCTTGCATGCTGGATCCCTTTAGAAAATCCCGAGTTAATAAACTCTTAAAAGTAGGCATGGCTGGACAGGAGGAAGGACACAGGTGTTTTCTTGCCTTACAGGGGTCTAATGGCTGTTTTGCATTTGAGTCAGGGTCTTTGAATAATTTTTCAGAATTCACAGGTTCTCTTATAAATTTGCTAACACTCTGACAGTTTAAAAAACAAACAGAAACAAAACCATATTTGCACATCTGTGTGATATTAGGAAGGCTTACTAATACAGTAAGGAATGTGAGCCTTTTTCATGCTGGTATGCATATACTCCCAGATTCATCTCAGAACCTGAGGGTGTTTTTGTTTGTCTGCTTTTGTTTCAAGGCAGGTTTTCTGTGTGTAGCCCTGGCTGCGGGAACTTGTAGAATCGTCTGGCCTTGAACTCAGGGATCTGCCTGTCTCTGCCTCCCAAGTGCTGGGATTAAAGGTGTGCAGCACTACCTGCAGGCTGAACTCTGAGATTCTTTATAAATAAATCACCTCTAACTACATTTAAAGAAAATGTATAGCATGGAAGAGAATTCTAAAAGCCTTATTTATTTGTCTTAGACAAAATAAAGTCAGTTTCTTTCATTCTGCCCCAGATACTGACTTAATAAAGGCAAAACAAAATAAAACCAAACCCCAAAAAACCAAACCAAACCAAAACACACCCCCCCAAATAAAACCCCAAAAAACAAACCCCAAAAACCTAAAAATCAAAAACCTTTGTAATTTTAAGTCCTTCAAGGAGTTGCTAAAGGCTATACCAAATCTCTCCTCACCCCCACAGATCAATGAAATAAGTGAAACAGAAAAAAGCTCACCCCAACAACACTTACAAAGGAAAAGCAAATGGCACTTGGGTTCAAGGCCCAACATTTGGGATAGTTGACTGTGTAAAATCATGAGTGTCTTTGAGCTTGCTTCCTTACTTATGAAGAGTTCTGATAATCTGATATAACAGGGTGAAAATGAACGATTTAAGCCCTCTAATTTACGGCATAATGTTGTCTGCTGACAGGCATGGATGGTACAAAAGCATATGTGAAGCCTAAATTTGTGATTTCTAGTATATGTAACTGGAAAAGCTTCAAGCAATTTCCATAACTGTGGTTGTATTTTCTGTCTGCTAATGTGTGGTTCAGGGCATCTTTGCAAGAGGGCCTGGGGAAAACAGCACAGCAGATAGCTGTCCTGTACAGAGACACGCTGTCCTACTAGAACACCATGGTTTCACTGCAACCCCAGGACCTCACTTCAAGTTGTTATCAGAAATAACTCAGAGCTCTGTTCAAGTACTACCTAGATTTTCACCTTCTGAGCTGTCGTTTTCTCAAACACTGGCCATGTCTCTGTATGTTCTAAAAACTTCTAGTTTTATCTGCACACTTGCTGTTCCCTGAATTGGCTCCCCACTCCCTGTCTTCACAGCCTGCTCCTTCCTGTCACTCATGACAGCATCACTGTATCTGGGGCAAGCTCAGCTGCACATGCTGGCCTTACCTCCAAGTCTCTTTCCTCTTTCCTCTGTTTGGCATAGTTTACTTACTATTTTTCTAAAATGTGGACTACATGCCTCACTGACTACTATAAACAACAAAACAGAAATACTAAGAAAATTATCCAGCTGAGTGTGGTAGTAGATACATAAAATCCCAGGCAGGAGGATTATAAGTTTGAGGCCAGCCTGGGCTAACTAGTGAGTTCTAGGCCAGCCTGGGCCATTGTTATGAATGTCTATCTCTAAAATACATAAATAAGAATATAAAAGTTACAGGTTTGGAGGAAGAGGGGAGGAGAATCGCTCACCTGTTGCCTGTTACTCTGGCAGGCCGCACTCAAATGTTTAAACCACAGCATTGCATTCATCCTGCTGCCAGCTTGAAACTTGTATGAATTTCCTAAAATTAGCAAAAGCAAGTAGAAAGCAATAAATTTAAAGATAATACTACCCAACATTCCTGACAGATACATAAGACTGAATGAAATAGACTACAGTGCTCAATTTCAGAAATCTATTCCTTTATAGCCATATTTCCCAATATAGAACTCTTTATGCCACATTGCCACAGGGCATCACATTTAGAGCCACCTTCCTACTGCATATACATTAAAGGTGATTATGGTTTATTAAAGTAATGTTGTGGCTTCTCTAGATGTCTGCAAAAATACTGTCATCCCTACCCCTTGCTGTATACTGAATCTATGAAGTACTGTCTATAATGTGTATATTGAGACGTTGTCCAAACTTATAGATTACAGACTCTATGATTTGGATGACTTGGGCTTTTACTTTAAGCTTAAAACACAATATGGAATAAAAGTACTCCCAACAGATACAATTCCTCAAACACCTTCCTGTTAGTAATACAGCAGAAACAAGATCAGGGGCTCAGGAGTTAGTGTCCACAGTACCTTGGACCCCCATTTGTCTAGCAACTCACCTTTCTCGGAGTCAGTCAGAAGAAAGAGGTCCGGATGCTCTGGATCATCAGCCATCATCACCATCCATCCCACCACAGACACATTTTTATTTGATGTTGACTTGAACTGAGATGAAGGATAATCAGAAAAAACAAGCAGTGACAACCGGTGACTTTTTATGGCCAGTTCTCAGTGAAAGTTAAATGTCAGGGAGCTTATCTGCAGTGTGTCCTTAGGAGAGGTAAGATGTGTGACCTAATGTGGACCCAGGTCATCGTGGCATGCCCTCTTTACACAGTCTCCCATTCTCCAGTTATCTTGTGTGGACACTTCATCACGACAACTGCCCATTTCTGAAAAGCATACTTGTCAATCTGCTGTTTCTCCTAGTCACACGGTTCCCACCAAGAGCAGTGGTTCTCAACCTTGGTAGCTCTGTGACCCTTTAATACATGTGGTGACCCCAACCATAAACTTGCTTCTGTTGCTACTTTGTAACTAATTTTGCTACTGTTATGAATCACAATGCAAACACTGGTATAGGTGACCCTCCCAAAGGGCTCGGGACCCACAGGCTGACTTGGACACGACTGCATCCTAAATACTTGTGCTTCCTCAGCCTGATGATCTCATATGCTAGAGAGGCTGTCTTTTCAAAAACAAGAAAGGTTTTTTTTTTTTTTTTTTTAAAAAAAAAAAAAAAAAAAAGGGAAGTGTTCTCTGCATGTTGGCTACTTTCATAGTTAACTACTCTTTCCTGTTGGGAAAGGGGTGCTATAAAGAGCAGAAAATAAGGTTAATCTCAGTAACAGAAATAATGTTTAAAAAATACTGGCAACTCAAACCTAGCAGTGTGTAAAAAAAAGCTGCCATAAGTCAAACTGAACGATACTTCTACCATGTAATTGCTAGTGGAATGTAGCTTGGTTAAATGCAGAACTATTAAATAAGGATAAGGAACAGATCCACAGAGACATTTTGTAGAAGAAAAAGCATGCAAAGGGTGAAACTCATTAAGTAACTGACAGTATAAAAAAATAAAGCTATGCTTTATTCACATGTGCAGCCAAGACCAAAGGGAGCCTCATTATTCTTGGTGACTGGGAAACTTAATTTGCCTTTTCTGGCAAAAGTTTAGTATTTACACTCCTCAAGATATAACCCAGAGAATATGTGCACAAAAATATCCAAAAGAGAAGTATTACAAATAGGGAAGAGATAAACCTATCAAATATTCACCAATAGAATGATGAATAAATTATGATAAACTCATAAAACAGAAGACGATTCGGCTATGAAAAGGAATAAATGACAACTACAGGTATCAACAATGACTTTAACAGTATAAAGCAAAGGGACATGCAGCTGGATGTGGTGGCATATACCTTTAGTCCCAGCAGAGGCAGAGGAGGAAGACCTGTGTGAGTTCAAGGCCAGGTTTACATAGTGAGTTCAGGCCAGACAGGCTACACAGTGAGACTCTGTCTTAAAATAAAAAAAAAATAAAAAAAAAAAATAAAAAGGACAAGGATGTATATGCATCTCCCTCAAGTACAGTTAAAAAGTCTTAGATAAGGAAACATACATTGCAAAACTCTGAAGGAAAACAAGGCCATGGCTAAAATGAAACATAAGATGGTGCCTCACTGAGAACGGCTCCCTCAGAGCACTGACAGGTCTGGTAATGTGCTATTTCTTATGCTGGGGGAGGGCTTAAAAATGTTTGTTTACTACATATCTTTCACAGTTAAAAGTAATGGGAAAGGAATGAATATAGTATGACAATAGTGTAAGAGGTACAAAAACAAAAAGGAAACCAGGAAGTTGAAGAGACTGACATGAATATATCATAGGATGGTACACCTGTCAGCTCATAACTTACTTCAAAACAAACAGCACTACTGTGGAACAATCCTCCTGTACGCTGCGAATATGTATTCCTCTCACTGGTTAATAATACAGCTGAACTGGCCTACAGCCAGGCAGAATAAGATAAGGCTAGGTGGGAAAGCCAAATGGAGACACAGAGAAGGGCGGAATCAGCTGCCAGAGGAACAAGATGTGCTAGAGAACAGGTAAAGCCATGTGACAAAATATAGAACAATAGAAATGGATTAATGTGAGTTCCAAGAGCTAGTTAGTAATAAGCCGGGCTACAGGCCAAATATTTTGTAATTAATATAAGCTTTTGTGTGATTACTTAGGACTGGGCTGGTCAGGGCAAAATAAAACTGCACCTCTGTTTACACAGCACAATTTTCTAACATGCTCTTGCTAACTTTTGCTGCATTAGCAATGATACAAGCTCCATAGTAAAGAGGGATGAGATACAAATACAGAGTGATATCCCACAAGTCTGCAGACAGTCATGTTGGGGAGTAACGCCCCTTCCCCGACTTCTTCCTACCCTTGGAATCAGAGCTTTTCTGTATTGTTATGACCAGTTTCATGCTAACTTGGTATATTTATACTATTTATACTGTGATTATGGTTTTAAATGATCAATAACTATTTCCTTACTGATAATTATTTTGTGTATTTTAAGAGTTCTGTTATTATAACCATTACAGGAATATTCTTCTATGGTATCTTTGTGCACTTGTTCAAAATTAGCTGGAGAAATGCTTCTTAGATGAGGAATTGCTGTGTATTAAAGGAAATGCCTGCCCCTCCCCATGCATGTACACACACATGAACTCACACGCAAACCTACTCATGGGCGCACATACACTTCAAGCTTCTGATCACATGTAGCCTTACATCGCAGCTAATGCAACAACATCCATCTTTACATTTCTGTCTAATGAGTGGTCATTTAATCAAGTTGGTTAGTTAGTGCTTTTAGCTTCCATTCATTTCCCTCTTCTACTTTTCTATTTTACTCTTTATAAATACCATAACTTTTTTCTCCCCAAAGTGCAGGTTTTTTTTTTTTTTAAATTTAACTAATCAAACACATTTGTTGAATCATTACCATGCAGTGATAGATTTAAATGTAGCTGTAGTTTTTTTTTTTTTCTTTTTTTCCCTTTGGCAATGAGTATACTTCAACTAAAGCTTTTCATATAATCAGTATGCTTTCATTTTTAAACATTCAAAAACAGAGACATAACAAAACAGCATTCTCTTTGTCCCCAGGTTTATTCTTTATAGGCCAAGAAACAGTAACTCCAATTTGGTTATGTACATGACATATGGTTGCCAAGTACTCCTCTCTCTCTTCTCTTCTCCCTCATTTTTTGAGATTAGGTCTCACATTATAGCCCAAACTGGCCTTGAACTCACTGTAATCTTGCCTCATCCCTCCCAGCACTTCTGGGGACAAGATCCCAATCTCAAGTGGTCAGTTTTGAACACATGCGAACATGGGCAGCACTAATTGGATTCAGTATGTTGAATATCTTTGGGAGAGAGAGAGAGAGAGAGAGAGAGAGAGAGAGAGAGAGAGAGAGAGAGAGAGAGAGAGAGAGAGAGAGAGAATAAGTAAACGCAATGAATTCCAGAGACACAAGAGGAGTTGAAGGCAGGAATGGTTTATACACAGTATATTTCATGTATTAAATTCTCTAATAAAAAATTAAAAACAACATGAACCAAAACTGCCAGGTAATAAATGGGCTAGTGAAAGGAAGAGACAGTTATCAAAACATAAAATACACATGACCAGTAAATATTCTAAAATGTGTTCAACATCTTTAGTCACTAGGGTAATGCAGATTAAAACTACACTGAAATTGCACCTCAGCCTAGTCTAGATCATGGTAACAAATGTCGGTGAAAATGTGGGAAGGAGGAAGCCTTATTTATTGTGGATGGGAGGGCAGCTACAATGGAAATAAGACCAGAGGTTTTATGATCCATAAAATGCAGATTTTATATTGTATCATTTCTGGGCATACATCTACACACACTCTACCACACCGGATATTTGTACTTCCATCTTTATTGCTGCTCTATCTACAATAGTAAATATTTAAAACCATCCATCAACAGATGAATGGATAGTAAAAATGTGGCTACATACACAACAGAATTTTATTCAGTGACAATGAAAAACAAAATGAAAACTGTAGGAAATGGATGGAGCTGGAAAATACTAAAGGGGGTAATCCATACTCATGTGCAGATCCTAGCTTCAATGTTTATTATGTGTGTAGATGTGGGTCTGGGTGTCAGCCATGAAGACAGACAGGGAAGGAGAAGAGGAGAGAGTTGTTGGGGAGGGCAACAGACAGACATGTGACATAAAATAGGAAAAGTGGCTTCGGGGGAAAAAGAGGCCCTGGTTGGGGGCGGTGGGAAAAGATGGGAAAAGGAAACTCAACAAAACAAAAATCATGTTTGAAATATAATAAAACTAATACTTGGTATACTAGCTAATAAGTAAACATTCCATAATTAAAAAGACTGCATATAGAGAAAAGAACATCGAGAGGATTTTACAGAAACATGGAAGTAAGAAAGCAGACTGTTGCAATCACTGTGCCCACACATGCCTTGCCACTGTTGGAAAATTGCTGTATTAGGTCAGAGACTGCTGATCTTTTTGGGACACTAGAGTGGCCTTGAAATTATGGCGATCACAATTCCCCTGCCTCTGAGTGCTAGGATTAAAGGTATGTGCCACCATGCCCACATCTGGGATAGAATTTTAGGTATTGTTTTTATTTTCACATTTAAATACTAGGAACTGGGGCTACAAGGCAGGGGTTTTGAGACACGATCTGACCCAATGCAGGACAGGCAAACATCTGATGGCAAGACAGACATTTGTAATTTGCCATTTTCACATTTGCAATGGAAAAACTTGAAAATACAAAAGTGATTCCAAAGCATTCCTTGGAATGGTGAATTAAACACATTTCCAACTATAACATGCATACTACATAGGAATAAGGGTGAGAGGTGTTGGATGAGAAATGTGATCTTGTATCCTATTAGGTGTATTTTCTTTACAACCAGGAAGTAGTTGTGAGAAAAAGCTAACAATTTTGAGGAGGAATACTTACATGCTTTCTTTCTGTAGCCTTCAGAGATTTGGCAGCATAATAAAAAAGCTGTGTTCCACACAAGGCTGCCCAATATTTTGTCCAAGACGCTACCTGGAGAAGATAAACACAAGAATATGCCACTGAAAGGTTTCTGACCTGACCTCTTTAGTAACAATATTCTATTTTTCACTTATTGGAGACAGCATTTCTAAAATCTGCATCTCAGACATCACTTTAAGTGAACACACTTTAGTAGTCATTCAAGTAATTCGAGGTCTCATCAAGAATCCTCTAACTTTTTGGGTGTGAGCATGAATTCAGATCCCCAGCACATGGATGTTCAAGTAGCATGCATCTGGGTGCGGAGACAGGCAGAGATGGCCATCCAGTTTAGCCAGTGAGCTCATGTTCAGTGAGAGGATCCTGTCTCAAAAAATAAGGTGGAGTGGTAGAACACACCCAATATTGGCCACATATGCGCAGAATTGTGTATGTGATATAAAACACAAACTCATGAATATGTACACACAGACAAATCATATCACCTTCCAGTATTAGGCTGCAGTGGCATCACCTTCTTGACCCCATATCATATCCTCTCCCCCATTCTTCCCATCTGGTCTACATCCTACAGTCAAACACTCTTTCTGGTCTCTAAACTGTGTCCCCACTTCTGTTGTATCTGACTATTTAGCATCATATGATAGCAGTAAGAGGACCGTGGGAGGGAACACAGTTATGCCAACTGGGATGATTGTGTTTACCAACCTCATAATATTTAAAAAAATTTTTTTTACTCAATCAAGTCACTGTTCTATTTTTCTATAGACAACTTTTCATACCCACTCTTCAAAGTTCTATCACACTCTCCTATGATGTCATTACATAATTCCTATACAAAATATATTGAGTCTGGTTTAAAAAAAAAAATAAAAGCTCATATTTCCAGCATACATTCTGGTGCTATCAAAAGACAAACTCAACTCCTTTTCCTTCCTTGTTTGAGAGGGTTTCTCTTTGTAGCCTCCACTGTCCTGGAACTCACTCTGTAGACCAGGCTGAGACTAAAGACATGAACCACCACGGCCCAGCTACAAACTGAACTATTTCTGCTCTGGATTTCTAGTTCCTGTCTTAATTTGTTTCCTCTCCCCACTGCATCTCAATTTCCTCCCTCTTCCATGATGAGCCTGAAGAGTTCACCTTTCTAATGCTTCTTGGGGGCAGTAGCGTATCTTCAGACGTAGGATAGAATAAAAATGAATCTTACTGTGGGCTTCTTGCCTTCTTTTAACAAAGTTTTTCTCCTGAGGACACCTTGAATAGTAACAGCTCCTGGGTACAAGTGCACCGCCAAATCTTCTGACTCCGCAGAACTGTAACGAGACAAAGCAGAAAGCAGCTAAGTGTGTGTCTGCAGCAGTCATTAAGAGGATCAGTAAATGAAATCCCATTATTCTTAAGTATAAAACTTTGATACTTTATTGAGAGCTGATAAGACATTGAGGACTTTGAAGTTTTACTGCTTTGAGATTTTTATGCTGTCATAAAGTTAATGAGGAAGTTATTAAAGTCAGCAGAAGTTTAAACACATTTTCTATCATATATTTCAACAAATACAATTTAGAAGAAAGGAATTCACTTGAACCAAGATTAAAAAATTTAAGGCTCTTTTGTTTTTTCTTCTTAACATGCCACAGTACATCACTGTGGTAACCCATCAGAACTCTGCTGGCGAGAGAGATATGATTTTGTTAGAAGTATTTAAGTATATAAAACAGAAAATGCAAATAAGCTCAAAACAAATGAAAAACCCCATAAAAAAACAACCCCAGAAAACTCATACTTAATTTTAAAGTATATAAATAAAAGTAACAGTGTCAATAACATGCTTTTAGAAACTGGCTTTCAGTAATAAGTTTTGGTGATGCTCAAAAGCTGCTCAGGGTTTGATTGTGGCTAACAGATCTCTAACAAAGAAGAACCCCTAAACTCAGGGATCCCTTTCCACATATTTTAGTAATCATTTTAACGTCTTTCCTCAGTTGATTTTAGAGTCTATATTTAAAACAATGATTTCAATGCCAGTCTCTCATGATGTGTTATGAGATGTAGAACTCTGAAAGAAGAATGCAAACATTTAGTTTCTTTATGATTATTTAGGTGTCTTCAAAGTGACAGCCTGGAAATTTCATGCTCCAGCTGTTTATAAGGAGGGGCACACAGGAAACACCATCAAGCTGACAGGGTTTGCTTCTCAAGAGCTGTATGAGTGAGTGGCTCCCCTCACACTGCATGTATTGTCTTTACGTGCTCCCACAGCTAATACAGTGAAGACAGGCCCAGCTAAACAGAGAACTAAAAAATTATTAAAATGAGATAGACTTATCTAAATTCAGGCTCTATGGTTTATCTGAAAAAAAAAAAACTTACTTAAAAAGGATAAATTGAATATAAACTTGCAAAAGAAAAGCTTTGATTGCAACTTAAGAGTAACAAATTGAGTTTTACATAATTCAGTCATAATCAGCAGCATTAGAAAGTATATAGTTAACAACTTTGTAGGATCTTTAAAATGTGACATAAAGATGCAAATTTTAATAATTAGCCCTGTGACTTAGAAAGAATAGTTCAAATTTAAACTATATGAAATCTTGGAAAGAAAGTTTTCATGGGCAATTTGTTTAGTTTTAAAACCAATTAGCGGAGAAAGAAGAGGAAAAAATGTCAGACAACACCCATATGAGCCAGCCACCAACACCAGAAGGGAGTTCTATGGCCCCTGATGCAGGGGAATTGTACCTGCTGGCCTTCGTGTGGCTTCGATAGCCATTTCGTGGCACTCTTGTCACCGGGCCGAGAGAATGGTATAATCTGTTCCTGTTGGATTCCATTATAAATTGTATATATTACACATATTTTTATTCATAGAATCATCAATACCTAGAATAGTAAACTAATTTGTAATCTGGCTTTCTCTATTAATCCTTAAAATGGGCAAGATATGATTCTTTTTTAAAACGTCCAACATAGTTAATTTTTTTCTATTGACTTTAGAAACACATCTGTAAAGTATATACTATACTATACAATTATACATGCACTCATTTTCATACATCTGTCAAAAGATTAAAGAATTATCGATAGCCAAATAATTTGGAAACTTGAAAAATGCTCCAAAGCCCCCTTGGCTCTTCTTGGGTTCAGGTTTAAATATGACATATGGATTTATATAAATAATTCATTTTATCATATGTCCCTATGAAGACACCTAAAAGCAATGAGGCTTATAAACTTATAAATGAATGAGGAAAACCTCTCATCATAACTCAAAGGAAACTAGTAGAGACAAACTGAGGAGTACATATAGGTGGATTTCTTTTTCTATATTAACTATCAAAGCCAATAAATGGTATGAATGGTATGAACCAGTATTCATCCCAAATCACATCATACCTGAGAGGAAATAAACCCAGAAACAATGGTATTTCTTTGTTTAGGGAAGCCTAAAGTATGTGGTACATGACCTTAATGTAGGAAACAAGAGGAGAAGATTGTGGTTAAAACTCAGACAACAGTTCAGAGGCTGAGGAAACAAACATCTCATGGCACATTTGCTACCTGCTTAGGGCTCCAAGCTTGCACTGGGCACTTGGCGTGTGTGACTCAGTACTATTTCATGTCTGAATTTTTCTGGGCTGCATTTATTTAGCTGTTTTCTAAATGTCTGAAGAGCCACTGCTTCAAACCTGGACAAGTACAGCTGTTTTAGCTGCAAGTGTATGTAAGACAAACTGTGCCATACAAGAAAAACACTATTTTGAGGTATGAAGGTTAACACATTTCAACCTGCCTTCATTAGGCAAGCTGTTGGGATGAGAAGAGATTAATGCAACATGACACTGGGTTATGCATTTACAGTTTAAACAACCTAATATACAACTGCTAACGATACTGTTAATTTAAAAATTATGCCTTAATAATGATTGGTGGTACACTTTTTCCAGGGGGAATGATTTTTTTTTTTTAAACTTTTTACAAATTCGTACAACAGGCCAAATGCAACTTTTGTGTTTTCTCCATGGCAGTTAAACTCAAAAGAATGGAAGTTGGGGCTGGGGAGATAGCTCAGCATTAAGAGCATTGACTGTTCTTGCAGAGGGCCTGTGTTCAATTCCCAGCACCCACATGTTGGCTTACAACCATCTGTAATTCCATTTCCAGAGGATCTGACATCCTCTTTTGATCTCTGTAAGTACCAGGCATGTGGGTGGTACAGATATACATGCAGGCAAAGATAATTATACACTATACATACAAAATAAAAATAAATCTTAAAAAAAAGGGAAAGAAAGTGAAACTTCAGAAAACAAAGTATGAGAAGAAATTGTTACAAATTCCCCAACAGAGAAAACAAAACTTGGGAAAATCCACTGTAGAAAAGATCAAAACATACACAGTGTGTAAGTGAGATCTTAATAGCTCATTAATGAGACATCTTTGAAAAGTAAGTTTTCAATAAGCAGTTTAAAATCAATGATTCAAATATAACTCCAAATCTTCCTGTTTAAAAGTGATCTCGAGTTTTCATAGAACACTAATATTAATCTAAACAATGACCTGAGACTCAGTGGAAGGCTCTGAGTTCAACCCTCAGCACTGAAAGCCAAGCACCAACTCCCCCACCTTCCCACTTCACTTGCTGCTTACAAGTTCGGATCTTGAGTGGACGTTTGGCAAATACCTATTTGAATAACTTTTCATTAGTCTCAGGGAGAGTTCTATTTGGTGATCAATATGGCATACTGTCTCTGTACAGATGACAGAGTTTATAGCTTAAAGCAACAAGGAAAGGAGAAGACAGCATGATCTTACAGTACATCATGGGAAAGCACCACACATGCACTGACTTCTTATGTCAAATGTCAGTTTTTACTTGTAATTTAAAATTAGCTGTCATTTTGTCCATAAAAAAGCAAGAGTTAAATGAATGTCTTACCCAGACCTAAGGAAATAATCTCATTTTCAGTTCCAAAATGTTATTTAAAATTTGTATTAAGAATTTATTATTATTTAAAAAAATCTATGTTACAATTGAAAAATTCAAAACACAAGTAAAAACACCAAGTAAACATATAATAGCTATTCTTGTGTACAATTCCAGAGTTAAATATCTATTTGTCATTTCTTCTGGCAAAAAAGATAAGTCACTTAGTGATAAGCAACAACAACTTCTTCAAATTCATATTCATATATTCTTTAAGACCGGTCATTTCTCTTACCTTTCAAAAGCTGGCCATGAGGTCTCTTCACTTAGTTCAGAGCCATCACTACTCCCTAAAACCAAGAGTTGTTCTGTTATTGTTATATCTGCAATTTTTCCAGTTAAGATTTTCTATTTTAACAATGAATTTTTTGGTGGTACATGCTAATAATCCTAGTACTTAGAAGGTGGAAATGAGAGGTTTGCAAGTTCAAAGACAGCCTGGGTCAAACAAAAACAAACACACAACCACAACAAGAAAGTACAAGGACTGGAGATGTAGTTTACTGGTAGCATGCTTGTCTACCTAAGTTAGACCCTTAACACCACAAAAACAAAATTTTCTACCATCAAAGTATACAGAGCAAAGATTATTTTCTTACTAAGTTGTGATGATACTTTCTGATCCAACAAATAAAGCTTGCCAGAAGATCAGAGTGCAAAGCTAGCCACACTAGTTTGCCATAGAGGCCAGACAGTGGTGGTACACACCTTTAATCCCAGCACTCGGGAGCCAGGCAGATGGATCTGTTAGTTCAAGGCCACCCTGGGCTATATGAGATTGAATTTGTCTAAAAGAGAAACAGCTGACACAAAGGTAATCCCAGCACGTGAGATCCCACACTTTTAATCTCAGCACTAGAGGGGTGAAGACAGGAGTGATATGGCTGGGTAGAAAAAGGAATGTAAGACGGGAGGAGACAGATGCTCAGTGTAGTCTGAGGATGTAGTCTGAGGTCGGAGCGCTGGCAGAAGTAAGAACTCTCTGGTGGCTGGTTACTTTGCTTCTCTAATCTTCAGCATTAACCCCAATATCTGACTCTCAGTTTTTATTATTAATAACAAATAGAATTCATGCTATACTAAGTTTGCCAAAGCAGTTCATGACATACTAACTTCTTGTTTTGAAACCAATATATGATGAGACTGAACAGCCTAATCAAATCTGAAATGGAGTCTCCCAGGGGATGGCACAATCTGAACACACTGAATTTCACAGCACAGAGAAGTTTAGCTGGGGCACAGGCTGCTTCTAACAACATCCCACATGTACTCTAGCAAGAACAGGCTGTCATCTGACTGCTTTATTCAGTTATACCACGTATTCAGGTACCGCCCTTTGTGTTTATTTTCTTAGTTATCTTTAAGGCTGTTATGTAGGCAAATAGAGGATTATTATATCCTTACTTCAAATTAAGAATATATATTTCAGCCATTTTCCTTTCCAGGCTTTTCTTTTCCAGTGCTGGTATTTAAACCCACAGTCTTTGGCATTTTAGACAACTGTCTCAGGGGGGTATAAACCTTGCCACCCTATAAATCTACCATTGGGAATTAGGACTGTATGAGCACATGGGCTTGTTCAAACCACAGAAAGAACACCAGACCCAGGAACTCCATGGAGTCACTGGATTAAGAAGAGGGAGCAGCTTTCTCCCTGATTCTATCCCTGACACCTATCCCTCTGATGGCACTACCTCCAACAATCTGACATCTGGTGTGTGTGCACCATGGAGGGATGGACAGGAAGAGACTCTGACTTCCTTGGGGGTGTGAGCTCAGCTCTGCTCTCACTGTTGGGATGATTTACTCATATTACTGTCTGCCTGATCTCCTGTTCATCTGTCTGGACATACTGTCCATCCATCTGTATTCATCTGGACTTAGCCCCACCCTCTGTTCCTGGACTCAATTCCACAGCTTGACTCAGATCCTGTAGCCAGCCATCCACAGAAACTTATTAACACAGTATCTTAATTCTGTTTTGCACCAGCTGTTGATACATTTAGAATTGCTCTCAGTGGGTAAAGTGCCTGCCGTGCAAGCATGAAGACCTGAGTTTGGATCCCAGCACCCCAGTCAGCACAGCAGCACATGCCTGCAGTCACAGCACTGGGAGGAAGAGGTAGGAGGATCCTGAGGGTTTGCTGGTAGTGTGTTCCAGATCCAGTGAAAGGTTCTATCTCAAAAGTTAGGTAAAGAGTGCTAGAGGAAGATATCACATGATGACCTCTGGCCTCCACACATGTGGATATGTACACAGACACAAAACAATTTCCCTCTTCAAGACAGCTAGCTGGCTTCCGTAACAGCACATCTGGTTTCTCCCTTTCATGGTTTCCTTTGTATATCCTCCATTAAAAAACAATTTCTATAAACATCTATATGTGAGAATGTTCTTATTTATACTATACCTGAGTGACCTAAACAAATCTTATAGTTTGAAATACTACAAAAATGGCAATTTTCATATAGCTGCAGACCCGAGACTACCCAATATGAGTTCCAGATTCACATATTCAATGACCTGACATCTCTACTAAGACCAAACAAGTTCAAAACAGAAGTCTTGACTTGCCAAATGCAGCCACCCTTCAGTAAGTATGTCTCCTGTCTGACAACTCTCTCCCAGTCCTGTGTATGGTCATTTCACTATCAGCTAACGAGTTGCTTAATTAAATGACTTTGGAATAACTCTTGACCCCCTCCCCTTTGTTTCTTCCTTTTCCTCACTTCCTCATCCAAAGTGCATGCAGTTAATCAACTAAAACAGCCTATAGTCTTTTCTCAAAGTCCTCAAATGCCTTCTTCATTTGGATTCAAAACCATTAGTACTTTCAAAATAATTGACAACTATTACCATCACCTTATATTTAACTCGGCCTTTGTTTAAACCAAATTTTTAAAATTTATGTTAGGAAATAGGGTTGCAACTCTTGGGATTGTCAAATGATCCTTCCACAGGATATGAGATTGCATATCAGAAATTCATGTTACGATTCATAGCAGTAACAAAATTATAGTTATGAACTAGCAACAAAATAATTTTATGGTTGGGGTCAGCACACATAAAGAACTGCATTCAAGGGTCACAGCATTAGGAAGGTTGAGAACCATTGTCTTAGGGTTAGTGAATGTTTCTGCAGCTAGGGTTTTCTGCTTTTGTTTGCTTGATCAAATGCTTTTTTTCCGCAAAGCAGTGGGAAGCCCCAGAGTCCCTCTCACCTATGGATATTCCACTGGAAAGCGTGGAGCTCTCTGCTTGACCCCGTGATGGTGCATGCGGCTCCATGACGCTATCATCCAGCAGGTGCCGTGGCCCTGCATTTGGGAATGTCGCACTCTTAAATTCTGCTGTGTTCATCTTATGAATGAAACTAGAAACAAAGAGAAACACTCTGTACAACTTCCTATGTTTGTAGTTCAGGATATAAAAGATAATCAAAATTGTGTTCATTCAGAGTTTGTTTTGAACAGAACATGCCCACTGAGGACTTCTTTCAGAAGTCAGTAGTGGAAAACTAATGACATTAAATGAGAATAGGGTCCCCCCCCCTTTATATTTAGGAATAGCGTAGTTTTTTAATAACTTAATTTATTATTTGTATCTGTTATGACAAACAATAATAACTATTGATAACAAGGTTGCAATTTTAAAAGGAAACCTGCAGCATATGCTTTCTGGATTTATTTATTATGGCTCTCTGAACTCCCGATTTATTTCCCTCAAATATGGGCATTGCTGGGAACACTCATTTCCAAATCCAGGTAAAAGAAAACTAAATCCTTTTAGGCAAACAAGACAGATTTTACTGAACCTGAAGACTGATGTTAGTAAATTTCTACTTAACCAATTATGTAAACAATATAGAAACATGCTTTACTAACAAAGGAAACAAAGTAAACCCATCCTCAAACAACTTAAAAAAACTGGGAAGACAAAATTAAAGCTGCTGACTTGTAACCCAAGCTATGGCACTTCCTGTGTCCATGTGGAATCAGGTTCCGAGGGGACGGGGGTGTCTGTGGCAGGAAGGTCCCCTCGGCAGCACTGCTTTTCCTCCCGCTCTGAGGTGACGCTCCCACTTCAGGACCTAAGAGGAGGGGACAGAGGATGACTGTCACAAGGTTTCAAAGGATCCTTCAAAAAACAAAAACAAAACTCTCTGATATAAAAGTGTGTATTATTAGTTCTATTAAATTGACTTGAAGAAATACATATTTTCCAAATTCTAAAACAAACCTCCAACCACACAAAGATCCATTAAGTTTTATCTCTCTTATTTATGTTAAACCAAGGCAGTATAAATATTTCCTTAGTTTATACAGGAGAAAAAGAGATCAGCTTGGGCTCTTCATTCATAGACACAATCTGGACTAAAGAACTAGGTCTTCTGACTCAGTGGTTTCAATTTGATGCCCTGCTTTTATATACACAGTTTTGAATTTCTCTTAAAGAAATGTGTAAGCCAGGTAGGTCAAGTGCTCAAGTTAGAAATTATTATCTCACTGCCTGACACTCCATCCGATTTATGTGAATAATAATAATAATAATAATAAAAAAGCCTGCACTGTATAGCTTTCAAAACACCTCTTTAGTAATAAGCTACTGACCCTACCCCCTTAATGCCAGCACTCAAGAGACAGAGGCAGGTGGATTTCTGTGAATTCCAGGGCAGCCAGGGCTACACAGTGAATAAGTCAAAACAAAACCTCTGCATGGTGGTATGTACCTATTATCCCACACTGGGGAGGTTGAGACATGAGGATGGTGAGTTACACAGTAGGACCCCGTGCTTAAGAAACAAACAAGAATGAAGAGCACATTTAAGAGACACAGACAGAATTATCTTCTGCTTGGAGTGCCCTTCTTCTGGACACTGTCACAAAGCTTATTCCCTCCACCTGATAAACCAACACTTCAAAGATTTTTAGATATGCACTAGGAAGCTTAGTTTGAAGGTTTGTGCTGGTACTTATTAATACTTTTTAATAACTAACTCCTTAAAATTTAGGGGTTTTGATGTGCTTTATGTACATTAAAAACCAGCTATAAACCTATGGGTAAAGAAGCAAGTATGAGGTTTATAGTTTTGGCATGTGGCCCAAGAAAGCAGAAGTCACTAAAATTAAATTCTATAATTATTCAAATTAGAATTTTTGCTTTTGATCATAGAAATGTCTCCATTGCCTAATAAACTGTATTCTTAATAATTAAAAACATTAATAAATCTCCTGCTTATATATAATTTCCTTGATTAGGAAACATTTACATATTACTGACAAACAACAAACAACTTTTTAATTAAAAAGAAAATCAAACAGAAAATCCAGACAGCACTGATATACTTTAGTACCCCAAATAATTTTTGTAGGCATTATAAGATATGCTAAGTATTCACTTACTTGGAAGTTTAATTCTTTCTTATGAGATCACGTTATCTGGTCTATTGTTTGAAAACGAACCCCACCTTGGAAAAACACCGTCACCAAGCAACTATGCATCAGCCAAAAGCTAAGGACTAACCTACTAGGTCTTCTCTGGAAGCAGCTGAACGTGGTGTACTTGTCCCCGGTTCTATCTTTAACGAGAGCCTAAATTTTAAAAGAGCAAAACATATGAAACAATGAACACTGGCAAAATATCAGTCATGTTTCTTTACAAAAACACCAATAGGGAGCTGGAGAGATGGCTCTGTGGTTGAGAGCACCAGACACTCTTCCAGAGAGAGGATCCAGGTCCAATTTTTAGCACAACAGGGTAGCTCAGAACAATCCATAATTCTGGTTCCAGGCGATACATTCCCTCTTCTGGCCCATACAAGTACCAGGCAGGCATGTGTACACAGGTATACATGCAGACAAACCACACAGACTTTTAACTAAAAACATTAAAAACATAAAAAAAAAAAAGAAAAAAAAAACCAAAAAACAAAAAAAAAAATCACTATTTCTATAGACTATTGTAAGCTATAATATATATTTTTCTTTCAATGTAATTTTTAATGAAGTGTTAAATCTCTCATAAGCCAATCTTATGGTTATTTCTAAGAAATACTGAAAAGGAAAAAAATATCAAAGTGTTATATTTAAAAACAAATACACATAGACAACAACTTTCTTTAATTATCACAAAAGGTATCAAACAATTTACCACAGCTAAAGACATTTACTAAATTATTAAAAGAGGATTTTAATTATGTTGTACATGGTAGGTAGCCTGGGACCTAACAAAGTCCAGGCTAGCCTGGGCTAGAGTTTGAAATCCTGCTTCACACAAACCAACCTAGAATTTGTACTGACACATACCTAATTGACAATCATATCCATGAATGTGCTAATGTATTATTTAATATATAATTTATTCCTAGAATCTCTAGAAGATTAACTACTGGTTTGACTTAAAGAGTGAAAATTTAAAAACACTTTTCATAAAACTATGCAACAAATCAAATAACATGGCTTATGGAAAAAAAAAAAGGTCCACACAAATACAAAGATTGCTTGCAGAATGGCTTTCCATTCTTATCTTATAGGTGTGCCCAACTATCTACAAAGTTCACAGTTGCAAACTGTACAATCAAGTTAAAATAAAAACAAACTCAAAAGGCATAAACTAACCAATCTCTCAATGGGATTTTGTGCTAAGTGGCTCACACTGCCATCCTGGTTATCTGAGGCCTCTGGGGAGGGGTTGGGAATGCTGGGGGGGTTACTGCTTTGACTTTCTTGTTACTTGTTCTATTTACATACCCAATTTTGAGTTCCATAGAAAGCTACTTTTATTTTTATTAGTGGAAGGAATTTTGGGAAACAATACTGAGGCAGTTAACTGTAGAAGATGTTCTGGTATAATGTGTGAAGCCTTGTATTACTAAGAACTTAGAAATTCGTAAGTTGTCTTTTGTTTTGCTTTGGCTTAATCAGGGGCTTTATAAATAAATACTGACTAGAATTTCCAGTGAAATCACAAAATAAAGAAGCATGCATACTGAAAACAAATTCAATGAAGGTATTTAACTGCTTCCTTTATAACCTAAGAAAATGAAAAACAATTATATTCTAGTTACTCAACAGTGTAGACAAACACCTCAGCCAACTACACTCCCTGCACACTAACTCTGTTGGGCGCATTGTTGGCCTTTGCTAGCACTGCACCCTCTCAGGGTGGGAAAAAAAAAAAAAAAAAAAAAAAAAAAATGGAGCTGGCTGACTACATTCCAATGCTATCTATGGCATCTAACAGCAGTATGAAAAGCACTGCAGGATCAACTACTATTCCAAGTGTCAGTGGTCTATACAGAGAGTTCAACAAACAAAACAATCAAGTTCACCATTCTTTGTAATTGCATAGGCTTTTACTTAGACTGTTCTTCTATGCAATACTGTAGGCTCTTTATAAGTCACTAAGTTTCTCTGACTAGAAGAGAGATTTTAATGGATACTTGTATCTTGAGATTTTAGTACAAAATGTGTTGTTTATCAAGTGTAAATTCTGTATTTACTCTTAAGGCAGCAACTAGAGGCAATAACTAGAGGCATAGGAAAAACAGATAAACAGTAAGGCACAGGCCATCAAATTCAAGACACTTAAAACACAGCACAAGAGGTCTGTGAAACTCGAGCTTTAAAAAGTGAACACTGGCCTCGTATTAGGTTCAAGTAAGTCAACTATAAAAGTTGAGAAATTTAAATGGGAAAGAAAATTGTAATAAAGGTATTCTCAAACAATACAATTTTAGATGCATAAAAGTATTTTTAGAGCTTAATATATTTAATATCAGAAGAAAACAATTTATAGCTTTCCAGAATTTGTAGTTTTTCAATGGTATTTATTTTATTAATCAGAATTACGATTGTTGAAACCTATATGTACAAGTTATCATCATTAATCAAAACGAATAAGAAAAATTATTTAATTAACACTAGGAAAAAATCAGATAAACATGTCTTTACATTTCTTTTACCCTCCCTCCCTCCATTCCCTCCCTTCCTTCTTCCGTCCTCTGGCCCATATGCATAGGAGCAGTAATACATGTGTGAAAGCCAGAAGATGGCTTCCCTGAGTGTTGTGTAACAGTTTCCTCTGAGATTTAAACATTTCATCCTTCCTGGAAGCTCATTAAACAGGAAAGTAAACAACCCAAAATAGCTTCAGGAAGTCCCTGAAACTGACCAGATTCTCTAGGCCCTCCTTCCCTGGATATAAACAAGCCAAACTGCAAGGAGTGAGACCAGGCCAGCACCCTGAAGGAGCGTAAACCAGCAGAGCGGCCTATATGAGGGTTAGACCAGAGTCACTTAGGACTCTGCAGGCTGTGCAGCGTGCTCCAGGTTTCCAGCTTTTGTGAGCTGTCACTATGGTGGGCTAGGCTTTGGTGATATAGCTGTGTTTGAGTCATTTTTGCTCCTATTAGTAAGCCCGATAAAACTCATTGGTTTACCAAGTTGGCCTGTGATGGTATCTGTACTTTGTTGTATAGTGGGTTTCCTATCTGGGATAAGTAGACCTGTATGTGTTGAGTCTGCTTCAGAAAAAGTTTCATCAAACAACAGAGTCAATTACTAGTGGAGCCATCTTGCCAGCTCAAACAGGCCTTTTAATTGGGGTGTTGAGGGAGGGCTAAAGACACGGAATTCAATTTTAAAGTTTGGCAATAAATTGGCATAATAAAGCTAGGCAATGTTCATGTGAGGTGGTGTACAGGCCTACAGGCCCATGTCCTCAGTGGTCTAAGACAGAAGAACTGCTTGAGCCCAACACAGGGACAACCACACAAAGATGGAGCAAAGAAACAAAAAACAAAAAAAAAAAACAAAAACAAAAAAAAAAAACCAGCTGTGATGTGAGTGAGGCCACTAGGAACCAGAAAGGGTTAGCAGCTTAAGGGTCCTTCCTGAAGGATAGTATGATACAGATAAACACAGTGCTACAGTGGTACCATAGTAACTCAGAGATGGAAGTTTAAATAGTCTCTCAAGCCATAGAAACACTTTCAAAGATGTGCCTAAAAATAATCCTTTAAGAAGGAATAACTTTTGTATTTTGTGAATGTCATAAACTTTTTTTCTGCTTATAGAAACAAATTTCCGTAGGAAAAGAGTCCCAGTACATGAGGAAAAGAAAAAATTCAATTTTGAACTAAATGTCTTTGTGTATTTTTAAATTACTGTGCTTATTTTTTGAGGTGAGGATAACTTGTGTGAGTTATTCTATCCTTCCCCATGTGGACCCTGGACTCAAGGTCTGCTTGTCAGACTTGCCTGCCTTCAAGTGCCTTTACTGCTGAGCATCTGCTGGTGTAAAAGCTATACTTCTTTTAAATAAAGAAAAAGCTGAAGCATTTGTACACTGGTTCAACTATATCATGTGATTAAAAGAAACACATGTAGTGGGGCATTGGTGGTGCATGCCTTCAATCCCAGCAGAGGCAGGTGGATCGAGTCCAGCCTGGTCCAGAACAGGCTCCAAAGCAATACAGAGAAACCCTGTCTGGAAAAACCAAACCAAACCAAACCAAACCAAACCAACCAACCAACAAACAAACAAACAAAAAAAAAAAAAAAAAAAAAAAAAAAAAAAACACACATGTAATTGCCTGAACCACTGTGCTAATGGATCACTGACTAGGTACCAGTGTCAACTCAAACCTTAGATGTTTAAACACATCAGACGAAGGGGTGAAGGCCAGGGAAGAAGTACCATCCAAATTTGAAGATAGACCTACTTGTAATTATCATCTTCCACGAACTTTTGTAGTTCTTCTATATACTGAACGGAATTCAGGTATTTCTGGACATGAGGCAACATGGGAATATCTAGACAAAAGATGATAAATGATTTTTTAAGTAAAGTACATAGTAACTGGAAACTTAAGGAGAGAAATATAACTGAAGGCAGTTAAGGTTATATGGCACCCAAACTGAAATGAACTCTAAAGGCATTCTTTTAACTCACCATATTCACAGGATTGCTGTAAATCAGAAATTATTCGAAGAATGTTATTCATCAAATTTGATCTTTGCTCATTTTCTAGAATGCTGCCGGTGGATGGGTATGCTGAGTCGATGTATGTCAAGTCTGACAAATAGATACCTGGAACAAAACAGACAAGAGCTCTCACATAAGGTCTGAATGATGGAAAATGAAAAGGGAAGAAAACTCAATTTACAGACATATTCCAGTATGTCATATTTAGAATATATTAATATATATATATAATAATATGTCTCTTGGTGTTGAGATTTCTAGAGTTGGGGTCAAGCCATACGAACTGCGTTCCTTATAAAGTCTCCCCATGTTGTTTTCCAAGTATAGATTAAGGCTGCAATCGAAAGTTCAGCTCACAACAAAGACAAAGAGGCTGAGTTCTTGAACTGGCAGAGCTGGTCACTTTAATCTCTGAATCTTGGCAATTACATGTATTCAACCATTACTTTATCTAAGGAAGTTCCCTGAGTCAACATAGCCAATGCCTTCCACAGGGAAGTCAATGTTCATCTCCTACCCTTGTTCTGAGCCGACACCCTCAAGTATGAACAGTGTTGCGAGAGTAGATATAGGTGTATTATTTGTTTTAAAGACCAGCAACCGAGTTTCTGAAATCATTTTGTGACCACAAACTGAAGTTAACTACCTAACCAACTTCAAGTTTTCTGAAATCAGTAAGAATGACATATCTCTCGGTCATAGCAATAATGAACATAGGTGGTTACTATCTCAAAAATATTTACCAAGACTTCACTATACATACAGAAAATGCAAAGAAAACTGTCATTGGAGACATCTATCTCCCTACTCTTGCCTTACTGATTCATGAATTGTTAGGACACGTGCCCCTGCCTTCTAAACATGCCTCTGGTTTTCCTGATGGCCACTTTCTTCCAGTTACAGGTCCATTAATTCAAACCTTTTAAGTCTAGCTCAGTGTCAGTTATTCCCTAGTTTCCATATAAATTCCTGAAAGAAATTTAGAAACTATTTAGTATGTTTTCACAGAGAACCTGAAATCTACAGTTATGAAAAGAAAGGGCCACCACGCTGGGACTTGTCAGGGACAGCCAGTCTCCAGGGGCTGCCCTCGAATCCTGACCTTTACCATGTCCTATACCAAGCTGATGTTATCAGTACCATTAACTTATACACATTCATCAGTGTATAACTGCCTTGAGTCTGCTCAAATCTCATTTGTTCAAGACTAGGAACGCATTTTTGAGTTGCTCTATTTTGTTCTCTGTATGATGTTTAGATAAGAGGTGGTGCACACATAAGACAACACAAAAGCCTGGCTAGCCTGCGGGCCTCCCAGGACACTCTCATTTCCTTCCCCATTCCTTCACTAACTCCACCCCACGACTGGTTTTTACAGTATTCTCCAAGTTATTCAAATGGATTTTTTATTTTTATTTTTCCCCATGAAGTGTTCATATGAAAATCTATTTAGGAGTTTTAAGCCCTATGTTTTGTTACCTTTAAACAGACTTTCAGCACATAAAACTTGAATAGCTGACATTACTACCATGACCATCAAATTAACTACAGACTAGAAATGACTCTATCAAAGTCTTAGTGTGAGAAAGAGAAAACTCTAATACACCAATATAGTTGATATCATGAATAATCTTTCCCAAAATTATTTTGGGAATTTTTTTTTATGTAAAATTGGAATGCAAACTTTCACTTTACATCCAGACAACAATTTTATCGACCCAGCTGTACTGTACTTAAGTATCTAACAAGACTTTCATATAAAATTTAAGTTTAACTGAATAAAGCTATAATAATTTTCCTAAATTTGACCTCTTCCCAAATATCATACAAGAATTAAATAAGTGAACACTGTTCATAACACAAAACCAGTTTGCTTTTATCAGCGGTGTCTCTGTAAATATGGTATCTATAAATTAATTAAAGTTCTAAAATAGAAGGCTATAAATAAGTTGAGAATTATGTAATTATGGACTGACTAGATCAGCTTTTCTCTATTACATCTGTATCGCTTCTAAGAAATAGAAGTATATTACTGAAATAACATTTTTGAGATTTTTTTTTGTTTGTTTTCAAGACAGGGTTTCTTCCTTGGCTGTCCTGGAACTTGTTTTGTAGACCAGGCTGTCCTTGCTGCCTCTGGCTCCCAAGTACTAGGATTAAAGGTGTGTGCCACCACTGCCTAACTAGAATTTTTATAACCAAATATATAACAACATGAAACATTAGCAAAAATATTAGTTCTACAGACTTAGTCTACGTTTCCAAAAGCTGACATTTTATAACTGCAAAGGCGTTTATATCATAGAAATTAGGAGATGTTTTCTCTTTGAAGTAATGTTTCAAAGGTTTTGTCATGTGAAGAGTGGCTGGTGTTTATGAATAGGTAGCATTCTGTCTAGCCCCCAACTAAAATGCAGGGTTTTAAGGTTAAACTGAAGATGAAATACATGTACTTTTGCCGTATGTGCCAATGGCACTGCTAGTTCTTACATGGCTATGTTGTTTTGACAACAGGAGTGAGGGAAGTACTGCTGAATGGACCTGGCTCTACTGTAAATATGCAGCTCCTAAGTTCTCAAAATTATCAGAAACATAAACAAAACAAAAAACAATAAAAACCCAACAAAACCCAAACCCTGAGATATACATGAGACTGCCTGAAACAAATAATTAACCTCAATAGAACCACAGTATCTGGAATCAGAGGGTTCATTCTGCCATCCCCAGACTAGATCAGGGTAATTTCCAGTTCACTGGCAGAAACTTTATTTGATACGGATTTTCTTCTCTGTCACAGTTTTGAATTATCTTGTTCAAGTAGATTCAGGAAATGTATATTCTATTGAAGGGTTAGCACTGGGTAGTCACAGTTGTTACAACTTTCACAACATTACCTCTGGTCACTTATTGACACTGAAGGATTGCAACTGTCCCAAATTTAAACACAAAAACGCTGCCTTTCTATCAGTTTATAATACAGCCCCATTCAAGGTTTAACCCGAATTTAAGGTACACCTATTTATAGCATTATGTTAAATGTACCACGAACTAGAATTAGCAGTCAAATGTGGGCACTGAATGCATCCACATGCTGCTCAAGTCCTCAAGCCATGAAGACCCTGTACTACCCTGAACTTTCACCAAGTGATGCCAGAGAGCTACCAACTTCACAATTTATACTCAGAATGGCAGAGACCTTCTTTTTTTCTTTCTTAGGCTGAGAGAGTAGAAATTATATTTCCCTATGAAAGATTTTTTTTTTTAAAAAAAATGAGATAGCATTTATGACAAGTAACAGGCCAAGAAACCCTTGAGTTTTCCTGGAATTCCTATAGTCTGTAAAATGAGGACCAGTAAGATCACTGCCTAAAGACTGGGCATCTTCCCCATGAGGCACGCTTACTGGCACTATCATTGACAGGGTGGGTCCACCTAGTCTTCCTCATCCTTCTGTCACACAGTGACTAAGGCTCTACCTTTCATACACAGCTGACAGTGCACTGTACTCTGATTCCTTCCCTGACATTGCATTCAGTATAATCACCCTGTGTATATGTGATGGGTCCCACTCATTTTAAGTCTATGACTCAGTAACTCTGTGCTATTTAATAAGGCAGCAATGGCTTTATTTGAAAAACAAGTTAACTTAGAAATGCTAAGAATATTTTATTTTTACATACAAAATTAAAAAGATTGAAGAACCGTGTTTACTGGTATTAACCATAAAAAAAGTAAAACCTGTAAAGAACAAAATGTTTACTTTTAAATGCACATTATCTGCGTCATGAGTCTTTTGAGGTTTCTTTCTCAATTATTCTAAAACCAAGGAAGCTGTTCTTGATTCTGTCTTGTTTTTAACTGCACAGAGCAGTACAGTGTTTGAGAGCCTAGAATTTGTTTGTTCTGGCTTACATTTGGATCATTATGTGCTCTTTTATATATGCCAATACATAAAACTAAATAAGTATTTGAAAGCAGTACTGAAATAAAGTACAAATTAAAGTGTATTCTTAGATGTAGTTACAATTAAACTTTTATGTCTTAAAATTAGCAAAAACTGAGTATCTATAATTGTGTACCTCTGATGAAAATTCCTTATAGTCAGTTTTAAAGCAAATTCAGCATGTAGTGGTTTTTCTTCTAGAGAATAACAATGCAGAGTTGCTCACACTGCATTATATTTGTGAGTGACCACTCGTCTCACACAAGCAGTGGACTATGTATACTGAGCTGAGCACATCTAATACTAATTATTGTCAAAGAAAAACCTTACCTAGTCACAGGAAAAGACACCCCCCCACTCCACTCCCCCCACCCCCCCCTTCTCCATTACAAATCCAGATGATGACCCTTAGTGGGGCTGTCACTTCCACTAGGATTCCTTCCAGACACCCACACTGCCTTTTCTATCACTCACCTCTCTACCTTTTGCCCTGGAGACTTAATGCATTCTTGTCTCACCCTGTGCAAAGTCAAAGCAACCTTTCCTTTCAGTCTGCTACTCTCCTGAGAAAGGCCCCTTGCTGCTCCCTTTAAATTCCCTTCAAAGGGCAGCAAAGAGTAATATACTCATTTATCCTTTATTCTATCTTATTTTGAAGTAACAGTTGGTGCACACACAGTTTGTACAGGTCAGGAAAAATTCAGGAGGCTTTGAATGAGGTAAAGCGGCACTACTAGGTTCCCTATCTAGTTCTTTCAGGAACTCCAGAGCATTCTTTTGGAAACTTTAGGCTATTTTATACTCTTAAGTTGTTGAAATTCTTGGCCACAACAATGAAGATGAATTATGTGTGACTGATTAATGCCCTGTGACTGTTGACCGATTCTGTAACTGTTTGTACACTTGTTTCAGTATTCTTTACCTATATGTGTATTTTTCTTTCAATTACTTACTGAAATGGTTGTATCTTCCTGATTCTTTTATATATTTAAGGACTTAAACATTCTGCCATATAGTCTTTATACTTGCATGAAAAAACACCACAAGTTAATCTTCCTATATGTATGTATTTATGTATGTATGTATGTGGGCATGCATAGGCCATGTTGTGCCTATCTATACAAGTCGAATGACAACTTGCTGTAACTGGGTTCTCTTCTCC